GGTAAGAAATGTATACGACTTAATGGACCGAAACATTTCTTACCTATAACAAATATTTTTTTATACTCGTTACCTATCTTAATATCCTTTTCTTCTTTTCATTGTTTTCTTCTCCTTATATTCTCTTTTTAACCTTATATTTTAAATTTGTAAATATAACACTTCGGGAAAATGCTTAAAAACCAAGAATAAGACTTGACCAGTGCTTAAAAATTTCGGCATCATGCTCAGAAATCAACAATATGATGTGATTAAACCAATATTCGAAAGGAAAAGCGAACAAGGTTGATAAAAATAAAGACAAGCAGCATTTCAGGCTCTCGAACAAGTAGGTAAATTAGTATTTCTACATCTCACTGCTCCATTTCCTTGACAAGTTGGCATTTGCACACATAAAATACTCAGAACTAGCGTTAAGTGTTTTGGAAATTTTTTTGAAAAATGTAAACTATGGATGTTTGTTTGCCACTGTAAGCCAGCCGATGAAAAGGACACAGTTGGATATTGTCAGCTGTGGGAAAGCAATGGGTGCTAATTCAGATATCCAGATAAGCGAGCCTGTATGTGCATTAGCTGTTGTCCGTTCTGTGTTTCATTCCTAAACTGTAAACACAGACGGCAGAGTCGGTGCGGAATGGGGTGGGAATCATCAATACAGTGCCCCACTTCGCAATGTTTTGAACGAATATGTGACTTTTTGAAGGAAGATGAACTTGCTTCAAGTAACGCTCAGAAAGAAATCACATGCAATACTGTCAGCGAGGAAATTCTGCTGGCAGAAGTGCTACTGCCGTGATGAATTCCGATGGCTATCTTTCCCACTCACTCAATATTCCTTTCCCACCCATAAGACTGAATATGTGGGTAGCGCATCCTAAATTTTGCTGAAATTCTACGCCGATCTGAAAAATAAAAATTTTAAAAAGTTGCTGAAGGAATGACCCGTTTACTGCAGAACGCCGAGTGAGTATGCGGCATCGCTGGCGACCCATCGCCTGCACCGTTACACCACCATCGTTCTCGTGCAAACTTTGCACCTAAATTACTTTAATCAACAAACTGGCGACTGGCCACTTAAAGATACGCTGCATATGACCTGCAGGAAACACAAATGAGAGGGCTTCGACCGGAATTCAGTGCCACTAATAAGACTCGTAAATCTAATTTTTCAATATTTTTTTCTTTAAAATGATAGCCGTTATAAGAAAGAACACGAACGCGATAGAAAAAATATGATATTTCTAGCCTTTCCACTTCGAAGACAGAAATAATTGGCCAACGCACGGGCTGCAGTGCGAAGATGCTTTTTTTGCAGAGTTCCCCGCAGTTTGTGTCGCTACCGGCATCGGTTTTTTCGGCAGACGCTTCTAGCTGAAAGAATTTCAGACTGGCCGCCAGAACTGTCAGGAAAC